ACTCAGTTAAAGTTGGGGATCACCAACAATCTGACTTCAAGAGAGCCTGAGAGTGAGTTGCCTCAGTTTGCTCATTCTCTTGGGGCCAGCACCAGCCTTGAGTCTGATGGGGACCCTGGAGGCTTCTCTCTCACCCCAAGCATCTGTTGTGCCCTTCAGACTGATCTGCTCTGCTGGGCTGGGCTAGGGAGAGGGCAGGGGAGGTGGGGAAAGCTGGGAAGGGGTTGGGATGGGCTGGAAAGAGCCCAGGAGAGAAAAACACCAGTGTAGAGCTGAGCTGTGTGAGCGTGCAGGGTACGGGCAGCCAGCACTCACAGAGCAGAGCCAGGTGGCACAGTGAAGGAAGCAAGACATCAAAGGGGCAGAAAAGAGGAGCCTGGTCTGTGCCATGTCCATGGACACCCCATGGAAGATGTCTGTCCTGGTTTCGGCTGGGATAGAGTTAATTTTCTTCACAGTAGCTAGCATAGTGCTGTGTTTTGGATTTAGTACCAGAAGAATGTTGATAAAAAAGAACCAGTTTTCTACTGAACCTCATTACACACCAAGTCCCACAGCTCTTGCCACAGTTGGTCTCTCAGCAAAGCCCATTCTCAGACATCTTCAGCTTGATCAGGTGTTCATGGCCTTGCCATGGCAACTATTGTAAATGTCCATTCATTGGGACCCCAAGTCTGAGGATTTGTTTACATTCTGTTTACAGCCTAAAGCACCCCATGCTCTGCAGAGATGTCATTTCCTTACCGCTGGCCAGAAACTTCCTTATTCCAACCTCTGACGGTTGTCTCTTAGTCTCCTGCCAAGCAATACGGTGACAAGACTGGTGTCATCTTCCTGAAAATCTCCCCCTAGGGACTGGCAGGTCACAAGGAGGTTCCCAAGGCCTTTCCTCCTTCAGGCTGAGCAAGGCCCTTCCCTGCAGTTTCTCCTGCCAGGTGAGTGCTCCAGCCCCTGAGGATCTCCATGACTGTCCTCCACTGAACTCACTGCCAGTTATCAACATCTTCTTTGCTGTGTTGGTTACCTCTGGCCAAGGACCCAGCAGCCCCAGAGGCGCTCATTCCCTCCTCCCCTTCCCCAGTGGGGGCACAAAAATTGAAACAGCAGTGTCCAAGGGGTCTAAAGAGCAGGGGAAGACAATCACTGCCCTCACTCCTTTGGTGAAACTCCAGGACACTGCTGGCTGCCTTTGCTACCAGGGCACTCTGCCGGATCAGGC